CCAAAAGATACTACTAGACAGCCTTCCGTTACTTCATTTCCTGGGTTCAGTCACTGGAGCTATTTTCCATCCTGCTCTTTAACTAAAGCTGAAGCAACGGTTGACTTCCAGATCTTCAGGAATCCAATTTCTTTATGGATTAATTTTTTTTGGTCTTTATCAACAGTATCTCCAGTCTTCGTTTTGCAAACTCACTTCTTCAACTGCCAGCCAATTAGCTTTCCCTTGTTGCTAGAAGTGGTCTGTTGGCAGACGAGGCCCAGGGAGAACTGTGGTCAGACCCCCCAGGACACTGGGTAACTGTGGGCTAGTCATTCTTTTAGCCTAACCTACCTTGCAGGGACGTTGTGAGGAAAAACAGAGGAGGAGCAAAGTAGGTATATTGCCCTGAATTCCTTGGGAGGAGGACAGTTTTTTGGCAGAATGTTGTTCTGACAAAGGAAGGACTTGCACGTTAAAAGCTCTCCTGGAGGGTGCAAAACATCTCTGCCCATAGAAGCATATTCTGTCCTTCGGTGGGATCTCTGACCATTAGGTGATGGCTGCCCAGCATCAGGGATGGCACTGCAGCAGCAAACCCTGAGTGTGATGCTTTGCTTTCCCCCATAGGAGTAAACAGCGAATGTATGAGAGAAAGGGGACCAACCTCATTGTGTGAGTTAAAATCTGCTTCCTGCCCCTGGTAATCTAATTGGCTGCAGTTTTATACACACACACACCCCCCAGTTTGGTGTAGTGGTTAAGTGCGCGGACTCTAATCTGGGAGAACTGGGTTTGATTCCCCACTCCTCCACTTGCAGCTGCTGGATGACCTTGGGCAAGCCATAGTTCTGTCAGAGGTGTCTCTCAATGACAGTTCTCTCAGAGCTCTCTCAGCCCCACCTACCTCACAGGGTGTCTGCTGTGGGGAGGGGAAGGGAAAGGAGACCGTAAGCCGCTCTGAGACTCCGAGTGAAGGGCGGGGTATAAATCCAGTCTCCTCCTCTTCTTCTCCTTCTTCAAAGTCCCCCTCTGAGTTTTGTTCCTTGATCACACCCGAGTGCGACAGAATCTTGCAAACTAGTTTTTTGTGCTTGTAAATACGCAGTATTTATGGACAGGAATGCTGTCTGTTCTGTGGAAAAACCATAGCCAGTTTTTGAAGAATTCATGTGAATGGCTGGATGAAAGATACCGGCCTAAATTATCAAGTGCCATTTTTTAAATATATATACATGTATTTAAAATGCATGAGCTGTGCTATGATATGCTACTGTCAAAAAGCAAGTTACAAATTAAATGTCATTAACTGCCTTGGGTAGAAAGTTGGGTTAGAAGTTTTGAAATCTTAAATGATTATGTGAATAAGGGAAAGAAGCAAAAGAAAAACAATTTTTCAGAACACTGTAGGGTTCCCAGCCCCCAGGTCCCAGTGGGGATTCCTCCACTTTTATAATAATAATAATAATCTTTCAATTTATTAATCGCTCAATCCATGCAGAGCTGCCGGCTCTGAGCGATGTACAGTTACTCATGAATATCACATGGGACTAACAATGCTTGGGGGTAAGGGAAGACAACATATATCAATTAAATCACACATATGTTTTTATCGTAGTCAACGGAGATAATCAGCAGCAAGGTCCAGGCGTGTTCCATTCCTTCCCTTGGTGACGCTTGATGTCGTCAGCGTTGCCTCAGTCGCAGCGCACCACTGCCACCGTCTGGCCGAGTGGCCTATTGCAGGCTATTTCTTACAGCGTAGTTCTTTTTCCGGCTTACGGATCTTTTGATTGGCTAACACAACCCCCGGGGGGGGGGGTTGTGTGCCCACCCTCTCTAAGGAGTGGTACCCTTAGGGCTTCAATGCCCGGCAAGCCAGCTGGTGGGGGAAACCCCACCCCCAAACAGAGGGTGTCGCTGTGACATCCCTGACGTAGGGCTCCCAGACCCCCAGTCCAGGCGGGGGTTCTCCTGATTTTTGGGGCTTCCGTCCACCCCCAAACACGCATGTCACACGTCGATATTGTCAGCATGATGACATCACGCAGAACTGACATCATCCCATAAGGGACGTCGCATGGCAATGCTCTAGCATTTTGGCCAAAATTCTATAGAGCCCCCAACGTGATGACGGCACTTCCGCATGACATCATTGCACTGCCGATGTCACATGTGGCGATGTCGCCCTGCCCCCCCCTCTCCCAGAGGACTCCCTTCCACTCTCCACCAGCAGAACAACTGGACCTGGCAACCCTACCAGGAAGCGATGTTATAACATCACCCACATTGGGGGCGGGGATGACGCTCTAGTTTTTGTGAAAACTCTATGGTTGTTGAAGGCAAAAACCCAGTTTTGCCCAGAAACTAGAGCATCACCCCGATGTTGGCGACACGATATCCCTTCCTTATGAAAGCACTTAGGAGCCCCCCCGCCAGCTTTCAGGTAGGACCTAGCAACCCGAGAATGCTAGCTAGCTTCTTTCTTGTTACAGCAGTATTAAACTTAGCTTAATGTGAACAAAATATCCAGTGTACGTACCTTAGCTATGTGAAGACGGCTAAAGTATAAGCTTGGCCAAAATGTTTTACGTGGGGCTATTATCAAATATTTGCCTTTTCCACTCCAGCAGCTGTTCTTTTCTTTTCCTGAATCAGTCACATGGGTGAGCCCGCCCCAAAAGGGATCACAAAGCAAACGGGATGCTTTCCCATTTGTTGCATCTGACCCAGTGACATCACCAGCGGCCGGTAAATAAAGGAGTGCCGTAAGGTTGCTGAAACGGGAAGCATTTTTCAGCACGGCTGAAAGTGTTAGCAGAAAGCAGTGTGCAGTTTTGACCTGGCCCTAAATTTATGTGCAATTGCTAGTGAGTGTTAATTAATGTAGAGGACATACAGCAAAAATAATGTAAGGCCTGGAATCTAAAGCCATAGTAAAGAAAACTAAACCCCATCAAGGACAAAATTCATGCGCATGTGCGTGTAGCTGTATTGTTTGTAGGCTTTTAGCAAAGGTAAAATCTTAGCTCTGTATATTAGAGGCTGAATTAATGCAACTTTTTAAATCCCGTTCAGCTATGCAACTAGGTGTCACACCGACCAAAGATTTGGGCTCTGACTCAAAGTCCAATAGGGCTGTTGTCTGACACTGTTGCAAAAGTGAACCTTAAAGTGAACCAGGCCTAGCCCCAAATCCTGTTTTTAATTCCAAGAGTCAACAGAAATAAATGGAGAGATAAAGTAGTACAAAATACAAGGGGGCCTCTGACCATATGCAGAATGTCCCTCATAGCTAACTGAATGCAGCTTGGAATTAAGGAGCAAGGTTTCTGGGACAGCTGTCAGGGAAGCACAAGCCTCGGTTCATTGCTAACATGGGGAAATTAAGTAGCCTAGAGACTGGTGCAGGACGGAGCCTGCAGTCTACAGCAGAGGGACCTGACCTCTGCCATGCCTGGGGCTTATCACTCGTAAAGCAGTTCCATACAAATCAGAACATAGTCCTAGATGAAGGCTGGAAGGCACCAGGCACTGGATTTGCCACCTCACTCAACAACCTGACCCATGTTCTCCGAGCAGAATCCACATTTATGAAGCCTGTGCACCAGAAGGACTTGAGTTTCGTGCACAGGCAGCTCATGTCTCCGTATTGCCAAAGTGAAGGATCACTGTTTGCAATAACCACACCGGTGCCTGCGTGCACCTGAGATCCATGTAACTTGAATACAGATTACTGTGAACTAAATTCAGTATTGGGTGTTCATTCTCCCTGACAGTTGTCTTATTTTTGACAAGCTTTTGATGCTTCTTGGCTTAAGCTCTGTTATCTGCCAAGAATGGTTTTTGTGGTTTTGTATGTGCGCAATGAAGGGGCCCGATCGGGGCACAGGGAGACCATAAAGTATGGGTGGGGAGAAGATGGCACTAGGTGTAGCGGGAGTGAAACAGCCAGGAAAGGTAGCGGAAAAACCTGTTTGCAGCAGAGGCCTCTGGGAAGTTTCAAGCAAAGGATGTCAGTGACACCTATCCCCTCGTGTTTGCACCTACCTCTATAGACAGGATTAGGGTTCGGCTGCAGCTGCTCTCCTGGCCTTGCCGACAGAAATGGCTGAGCGAGTTCCCTGCTTTTCCTGCTTGGAGAAATCCAACAGCCCCTTCTGCAGAGTAACTGTCACGGCAGCCAGCCATGGGCAACAGCCAAGGGGATCACAGAATCCTCTCCTCAGCTACAAACTAAGGCAGCCAGCCATGGGCAACAGCCAAGGGAATGAGCCACGAACGACGACATTCACAGAATCCTCTCCTCAGCTACAAACTGAGCAGGAAGGAGGGAGTGGGGGAGAAGGGATGTTCCTGACACACTTAAAGAGGGAGTAAGCTTCATTGAGCTCGAACCTGGATCTTAGAAGATACGCCCTGGTTAGTCCTCGGATGGGAGACCACCACGGGATGCCGGGGTCACCCTGCCCTGCAAGGGCTGGCAATGGCCAAACTACCTCTGTTCGCCTCTTGCCTAGAAAACCCTACAGGGTTGCCAGAAGCCCGTTGCGGCCTGACAGCACTTTCCGCTACCAGGCTATACTGAATTCAGTGGGTCTGAGTCAACGTGCTTTTAGGGTTGTGCAGTTAAGTACTTTTAGGTCAGGCACCCTCATCCACTTCCCTACCGGTATCCTGGGGATTTGCTCCTTGCTCGGCTATCAAGAGAGCAGATATGAAGACTCTGGATTTTCTGAATTCATATAGTGCCTTTCCTAAGTCACGGGTAAAAGGATGGCTGCTATCCAAACCTCCTAAGGCTAAATGAAGCCGCACAACACATCTCGGATGCTGAGCTGGGTCGCAGTGCAGGAAGTGGCTGGGGAGGTGGGAGTCCTTCAGACATTGTTTTCTTTTTAAAAATCAAGCTGTTTTACATTCCCTTTAATTAGAAGGATTCTACCAAGCTTGTTTTCTGACATAAGTTACAGACAGCATTAGCAGTGCAAGGAA